TATATATATATATATATATGTCAGGCTGTTCCTTTCATCTTTGAAATCTGAAATTGTAATCCCGAACTGTATCTGCATGGAATAGAATTGGTGGATTAGCTATTGTTTTTTTTTTTTTAATCGTTTTTCCGAGCTTACTTCCCCTTTTTTCCGACCGTTGCGCTCTTACAGAAGCTGCTGGACTTCAGATACAAATCGTACAATTTCCTTGAATGTTTTCGCTCCACTTTGTATTGAAACCCATTCATCTTCAAGGATCTTCAAGTTGTGAGACTTCGTGCGAGTTGATTAAAGTCCTGATATCATAAAACCGGAAGAAATTATTCCAAATAAGGCTGAGAGTACGACATGCAAAAAAGTACGAGATATTAACGTTTCTATTTACAGATTTATCTTCTGCCTATGTATGGGAAGGGCAAACGTTTTTAAATCATACAGTCAAAAGCTTTAGCTGAGCCTACAAGCCTTGTATATCAATTGACTAGGACGGGTGCATTCGACCTATGGAAGAATAGTGCTTGCTGGAATTTGAGCCTGCTGAGACGAGCTCTGCGTTTGCTGTAATCAGTTCAATGCATAATTATATAGGGTAGATGCCTATAATTAGGGCGGGAGGGCGGTGCTTACCTTCAGCTTTCATTTAGTTTCATTTAATTTGTTGATACAGAAGGAACCAAAGTTTTTTCACCGTGGGGAACTGATTACAAAATGATTTTCTGCTTTAGCTAAATACATATAATTTGACGAATCTGCAAGTGCTCCTAGTCCGATTTGATGCTAGTGTATGCAACATATATATGCTCCGTGCTGGTTAAATGAATCTGAGTTGCGTATGATTTCATCTCGAACTGAAATGTTGCCAACAATTTTCGATTTTGCGCACTCCAATTTTCTCTTCTTATATATATATAGCCCCAGTTCTTGTTATAGTCTAATCTCCTAGCGCTTGAAGTAGATGTGAGTCCCAACCCAGGCTAGGCAATCGACAATTGTAATCGAGGCCATCGCGGCAAGCTGCAATTGTATAGACCTTGAATCTGGTATTCGTCTCGTCTTTTTGGGCTTTTCTCCTGCCTCCATGCTCTATGTGTGATGTCACTCCTCTTCCGTTTTCACTCTCATCATCATCATCATTGTCATGGACTAGACCAAATTTGGTGTCCCTGAGTTAGTCGGTTGGGGGAGTGAAGTTATGGGGGAGTTGGGGCATATAAATGCGATGCGTATAATAGAGTAGCCGAGATGTATCTTTATTACAGTAATTGCTCATTGAACAGGAAATTATTATATGCGTGCGTGTACCGTCTGTCCGCCTGCTGCTCCTCCTCCGATGCTCTCTCAACTCCCTGCTAGACTGCTCAGCCGGCTCTCGCTTTTAGCATTTGCTTCGGTGCGCCCATTGCCCGAAATAGACAATAACGAAAACAAATAAAAGGGCAAGAAGCTGGAAGGTTGAGGAAATCTGTGTGCCGCTCTATTTCTAGCGTAGTAATGGAATGTGAGCTTTCGGCTAGGGTTAGTGTCACGAGTAGGTGGTCAGAAGAGCATACATCGTCTGCCTATTCAAGCTATTACGGATTTCTCTCTCTGTTTCATCATTTTTGGGTTTATGCCACTTACATCTGCAAAATGCGCGTCACACAAATCGAGAGCGGCGGATTCGCCTCACAAATTGTAGTCCCGGTGCCGCTCCGGCGTCTGTCTCAACTGAAGGAGCGAATGGGATGGGGCGAAAAACAAGGAAATGCGGGTATTGGTTTCATGCCTGTCGAGAATTAGTCCGCCTCGGGCAGCCTATGGACGACCGGCAGCATTTGCGCCTGCAGCCGTCGACGCAGACGTATGTCATCGCCGCCGCCATCCTGATCGATCGCCCGGGGCGGCAGGCGCCAACTCCACACGTGGATCCCATCGCCCTCGCCCATGTCGAAATGGACGCGCTGGCGTTGCAAAATGATCCGAAGGTTCTGTACGAACCGAGCCACATCCATGGGGTTCTCGTGCTGTAAGCGCGCCGCTACCAACGGCGGTATGAAACGATCGTAATCGTGTTGCTGCTCCTCGTTGGGTCCCCAATGCAGCGCCGGCTGGAGTCGGTGCTGGCGCATGTACAACAACCTGGGCCGAGGAGGGTTCATTGCTTCTGCTCTTTGGCTTTCTTTCTTCTCTCTGGATGCGTGTGTGTGTGCTTGTATACGCTTGTGCATGTATTTCTCTGTTCCTTTTTGTTTCCCTTGTTATTTTGGTTGTATTCTCTTGTTTGATTTTCATTCGTTCCGATTGTTTTGATTGCTTGCGTGTGTGCGTGCGTGTGTGTGTGTGTGTGTGTTTGATTTAGGTTTCAGAGCTTTTTTGGCTATTGACTTGAGGTTTGATAATTGTTTAGCTTTGGTTTTTGTATCTATACCGGAATTTGGGAGAGGGGGAAAGACAAAAGTAAAAACTTTAAAATAATCTGAAAGCCGGATTTATTAGTTCTATACCCTAAAAAGAATTTGGCCGATATGCCAATCAGGGGCTCTGAGTGAAAGCTCTAACGTCTACTCGGTTCACACATGACATTCTCAGTTTCTAAGCTCTTCCCGTTTGTCAAATTCAACAGTGTTAGAGTGAATCTACCAGCAACTCCTTGCTCAAGGAAGAGGAAAAGTATCGCTAGAGAACTAGCGAGTAATCACTCGTTGCAAAACTAACGAGTAGTTGTTAGACAAAACAATATCGAGTGTGATGCAGAAACATGAGTTGAGCTAACTTGGACTCGAAAAGTAACGAGTAATTGATCGAGTCGTTCGGCTAGCTCGTTTTAAAAGTAACGAGTGATTATTGAATAAATTCGCTCATTAAGAGAAACCCAGACTTTAAATTGAACAAATTCATTGGAATTATGTTAGCCAAACTGAAGTTTATCTCAGTGAACTGAGTTGCACACTTAACATCCCTGGTAGATGCCAACCATGCGAGTATTTACTGTAGCTGTAGCTAAGGCGGAAGCATCTCTGCCTTTTCGTGTTGGCCTGTCAGGCGTTTGTCCTTAATCAAAATGCACACACTTGATGCATATTTAATTAAACTTTCACCTTTCTGAGGGGACGTTTCAAAGAAATTTTGCCAAAAAACCGGGTCGAGAGCGCTTCCTATATAAGCACGAGCGCTGGGGCAGTGGGCGTGTTTTCGAGAGAGCGAAAGAGAGAGAGAGACTGAATGGCTTCTAGCCAGGGTTCATTTTCCATTTTGGAAAACAGAAATGACTTAAAAGCGACACGACGGCACTTTAATTAAATCAGTTTTAATTAATGCAAAATGCGAATTTCAAAAGATGTTGCCTAGACATCTAGCAGCAACATGAAAAACAGATGAACAACTCTGTAACAGAGTGGCAGAGGATGCAAGGCTGGAGAGGCTTCTCGGGCTTTGTGGGCGGCTCTGATGCTTTGGCGCTGTGGCGGGGGCGGGGGCAGGCAGCAACCACATTTTGTTGTCGGCATAATTACAACTCAATTGTAATCCAATTTTTGGGCAGGCATATAAATCGGATTTCATTGTGACAAGCCACGCCCTGTCGCACACCGCCTCTGCCTCACCCTCCCTCGCCCTGTGTGCGCCTGACAGTGGTGTCTGTGTCAACTTTTTTCGGTGTCAAATAAATAAACTTTTGACAGTCGGCAGACAGACGGTCGGGAGGAGCTCCGATCTGAACCTGTGCCGGAATTGCAAATTAGTTTGTCACAAGCAACAGAGCCATTAGGGCTGGGGCCTTAGCTACTCCTCCCTGCCTCCTGCTGTCTGCTGCCTGATGGCTGTGTACGATTGAATGCTTTAAGAGGCGAGTCCGAATGCTGCAAATGTTTTGTGTCTTTTGGCTGCAAACGTTGCAAATTAGTTGCACATGTTTCGTCCGCAGCCGAAAAACAAGACGTGTTTCCACTAATTTGGCCAAAATCAACAGCTGCGCATACATGCGACAGTGTGTGTGTGTGTGTGTGTATGAGTGTGTGTGTGTGTATATGTGGAGAAAACTCATCATAACTTTCTTATCAAAAACTTATTTTAGGCAACGAGTGCCGCAAAGATATTCCCTAACAAAAAAAAAAAAAAGCAAGAAAGAAGCAAAGAAAAGGATAACTCAGCTAGCTTGGGAGCACGTGCGGTACAACCTGACTATGAAATACCCTGTAGTGGCAGGCAGTGAGGCTCTTTGATATTGCTCAAAGGTAACTTTATATATAGAATATATATTTGCAGCATTCTAATAAAGTAGTGTGGCATATTGGGAATCCCGTCTGTTGAGAAATTCCAGGGTATTCTCTGTGCTTCAAATTTAGTATCATCATGAGCTAAAGATGAGGCATATATCGGATATATGAGATGCTAAAATGTATACAAATCTGTAGTCTATCACATAGCACGCTTTTACAGGGTATCTGAGCATCGAATTAAGGAATTCCAGGGTATACTCTGTGCTTTAAATTTAGTGTCATCATGAGCTAAAGATAAGACATATATCTGATATATGAGATGCCAAAATGTATACAAATCTGTAGTCTATCACATAGCATGCTTTTACAGGGTATCTGAGCATCGAATTAAGGAATTCCAGGGTATACTCTGTGCTTCAAATTTAGTATCATCATGAGCTAAAGATATATGAGATGCTAAAATGTATACATGTCTGTAGGCTATCACATAGCCCTAAAGTGCTGCTTTTACAGGGTATCTGAGCATCGAAATATATACACACACACATGTGATAGCAAATGCCTTGCAAACTTGTTATAATTACACTGTCTTGACAGCCAGCTGTGTGTGTGTGTGTCCTTATACTCATCCTTAACTAAGTTAGCCGTGCCGTACAGCCCGTACAGCCCGTACATCCCCTGCTCCTGTCGTCCTCGTGACTGACTAACTGGGCTAACATGCATGAACAGTAACATATGTTGGACTTTGGCAGAAAGTTTTGCCAGTTTTTGGCGCGCTTTGGCCACGCTGCCATTTTTAGCAACTCGCATCCATAGCCAAGTTCTGCTTAGCCCCACTACCCCCCGCCCAGCCACGGCTGTCCCTCAGTCAGGGCGGAACGTGTGCGTTCTGTGGTTGAGTTGACGCACACTTTAGGCGCAGCATGCAACAGCTGTGGCCCAAACGCAATCTGCCTACCCCCAACCCCCATGCTGAGTGCCCTGAGTGCCCTGACTCTCCTGCTGAGTCGCCCCATCCCAGCTAGCCCCTTCTAGTCGTTGCGACTAACAAACTTTTGCCCAGCACAAATTAAAGTCAACAAACTAGAATATCAGCTTGCCAAATGGGCATCATCATTTCAATAAAAATAGACAACTTTCTGTACATCCAATGAATGGGTATTATTGCTGTTGTAGTCAATATAGACTATTATTTCGATGTGTGGAGATATGTAAAATCTTATATATTCACAGTCGAAGGATTTCTAACAATAGACTGAGTCTTCAATTAGGAGACTTAAGCTCTAATGGTATCCAAATTGGGATATCGATTATTATCGATCATAAGGAATCATGTTTCAAAGGTTGTTCTTCTTCTTACTGTGGTATTCAAGAATAGATATTTTAAAATTAAGCTCTGTATCATTTGGAGCTGATTATATGAAAACGTGGCGAAGGCGACAAAGGCGGACGGACAGAGGCAAGAACAAATAAACGAATTGAAGAACCCAAAGGCTGACGGACGGACAGATATACTATCGGTTATTCCTGGATCAACTGAGTTCGTTGGCTTTATCATATCCTAATAATGACAAATATCTAATAACCTAAACTTAAATATCAGCAAATTCCACCGCCAAGCAGTGGTAAAGGATTATAGCTGGCTTAATCCAAATTTGACACGCGCGCTCCTTCACTAGATATATCTTACCTTCCATAGTATCAAAGCCAAAGATAGTTCCAAATATCCATTTTAAATGAGAACAAAAAACTAATATCATTATTAAATATGCTAATGGATATTTGTGTAGAGGCATCAACAGGCATCGAGCTGAAACTTAAGTAATCAGGAACTGAGCCAAATGATGCCAGGGAAAACAAAGAAATGAACCCGAAAAAGCACTTCGATGGCTCACACAACCCAGCAGAAGAACCAACAAAAAAGTTACAAATTATTGTGTGACTGTGTGTGTTGGCTTAATATCGAAATAAAAAGCACGTCAATATTAGACAATGGCAAAAAAACGACGCGGTTAACAAAGCCAGCGCGAGGGTGCCCAATAAAACGAAGAAGAAAAAAAAAAAAAAAAAACAACAAAATTTTGACATAGGAAAAACGAGTCCCAAAGTTAAATAAAAAGAGCGGAACCAACTTTGCCAAGTTTCCAGAAAGGGGTGTCAAAGAGTGGGAGGCGGTTGGGGATGGGGCGGGACTACCAAAAATATATGCCTAAAAATGGGCTAGCCCAAAAATAAATATGGCAACAAAATGGCAGCCAAGGCTTGACAGCGAAACGTAATGGTTAAAACTGGAAAGTAGAAAGGAGCTTGGCAAGAGCTAAAGACGTTGCTGCGTGGGCGTCGAGCGAGGGTTGAGCGGCTGCTGGCCGGCTGGGGGTGCAGGGGTAGAGGCGTCGGCTGAGAGGGTGTCGTAGAGTCGTGAGCTATGTGAATTGCATATGCGGCACACGTATTTGCGCTATAATTATTTCGTACGTGAGCGCTGCGCTCAACTTGGCCCGGAAAGCAGCCGTAGACGCTCGTGGAACAAAGACAATGCCAACAGAAGCGAAAGACACCATCAGGGAAAGAGAGAGAGATTGAGCGTGAGAGAGAGAAAGAGAGAGAGTGCTAGGGGTAGACAGTAAGCGGCATTTGCGACACCGTAGCTGACTCGCATCCTGCTCAGATTGTCTGGGAAGACGTCGCCAAGCTTAAAGCTAGCTTGCAGCTGGCCTTAAGCTATAAATTGACTTTGCTTCAATCAAGCAACTAGAGATGGGTGTGTGAAAACGTGACGTGATTGAACGCACTAAATGATGGTTTGGGATGAGAATATTATATGAAGTACTGCTAGGATTTCTTTCGATACACTGCTGAGCCGACTGACTGACTGACTGAATGAGAGCTGGGCTGACTAGCTGATTGATGGTTGATTGAATTATTCATTGAGTGATTCGCTGACAATTGACAGTCGATCGCATAACTTGCTGTCTGATTGACCGACTGATTGGCAACTGGTTGACTGAGTGATTGAAGGATGGAGCGAGTTCTTTACTGACTGAAGGAATTATGTATTGATTGACTATATAAAACTGTATGATTGACTACTAAACTGTATGATGATTACTGAATGATTGATTGCATGATAGACTGTATGATTGACCGTATGATACTCTTGATATATTTTTGTTGACTGATTGAATGTATGATTAATTGAATGATTGATTGCATGATTGACTACATGATTGACTGTCTAAGAATTTATTGACTAACTGGTTAACTGATTGATTGATTGATTGTATGATAGACAGGCTAACTGATTGACGG